CGTTAACCGCAAAGGCAATATCCGGCCTTGTACAACACATTAGATACAATTAAACTACCAATAATCTGAATGTATTCTCCATGAGAAGTACAATCTTCGTGATTATTGGCTAGTTGTATGTGAGTATCTAACGGTATCCAAGCCACTTGATTATCATCCTTGCAAAGATTCAATCAACTCAATGAGATTGGCTTAACACGAGACCATACGGTCTTCTCACGATTTCAATCCCGAGGATTAAATCTACCAAACCCATGCCCTTCACATTAAATATCAAATTTAACATGTTCCTGGTAGAATTGATCATTACTACCTACGATGAGTTCATCATTTATAAACAAACAGTGATATCCCCGTCTATCGTATGTTATACATAGACACACTTTCACTTTCGTTTATACTAAACTTGTTGGTCATCATTGTATGATCAAAACCTCACATGCCAAATACTAAGGCAATTGTTTCGAACCATACAATGATCTTACCAATTACACACTTTCTTTTCACAGCGTGGACCCACAAACCCTCAGGTCGTTCCATGTCTACTAAGAAAGCGATCCATCCATTTCGATGAACTTCCAAGTCTTGCTAAACGGCTGTGGCAAGTATCATTCTAATGGATTTCATTCTCATCACAAGAGAATATTTATATCGAAGTAACCGTGGCACTCGCGTTGCATGTAATCTACAGTTACAAGCCCGGCCATTATACTTCAATATATCCAATCGGTTTTATCTTCCGCCTAGTGATCCACTTAGGATCCAGAGGTTTTTACAACTCGGAGGAAGAACAACCAATTCCAAGTATGATTCTCGAAGATAGAATCTACTTCACCTCGGTAGCCTCTCTCGGGTTGGTCCTCCTGTAGAAGTCACCACTTCTACATACGTTCGAGGCTTATTTTCTAACAACCATGTCAGAAAATCTGGTTCATTTTCTAGTAAGCAAGTCAGAATATCACATCACACTCTAACATGTGCGTCAGAAAATATGGACCAAAGGATTTTTCAATCCTAGCTCTTTTGCTATGTCTAGCTTTGAGCTCGGGTTCTCTTTCATACCCTCTAACCATAGCTACGTTGAAAGTTCATTTCAGCGTGCTAGGTCCTTTATATTGGACCTTCACAGAAATACATCTTCAAAGAACGATGAATTTATTGATTCAATTTATCGTGTTCTTATGTACATCCAAACTATAGGACTCGTGTACTAAGAACCAATACACACCTTTGACAAGACACCCCCACATTTCAGGCATTAGTAGGAAAACTTCCTACGTACCCACAATTCGTAAGAATTTCATGCGGGTAACCTTATTTAAAATGTACTTACTTGTCCAAAGTATTGTCTCACCCTACATACTTTCAGGAAGACCCGAACTTATCAACGTCTTGATAGTTATGTTCGGCAACAACGTTCGATTGAGGTGAATACCGTGTCGTACGCTTGAGTACGATACCAACGCTTGCGCAGAAATCACCAATAGGTGTTTCATATTCACTACATCGATCGTTCATAACCACATTAATCCACGATTAATTTGGTTTTCTCTTTTATTCTTATAAAGAATAAACTTGTGCTACGCGTTAGCACATCTCGTAGGTGCGAACAGATCAGCACTTACGAATCCATTTGGGATTGACCGAAAGGTCAAAACCACGAATCAATGCGACAATGCAAGCGACTTAGCTATAGCATCGATGCCGAAGTAATTTACACGAATCGTGTAGTTACCACCAAATTGTCACAGATTAAAGCTTATACTTAAGCTTAATCAACTCGTAATTATATTGCATAATTACTCTTACAATTATGTGTTGACAATTCCAAAGCTAATTACATTTTCCAAGCACTCCACGAGTCCTAAGTAATTAGCACAACGAAGATTAAAGCTAATCTTAAGTGCTAAAGTAATTAGCACTTTCCAATGCAATTTAGTTTGCATTCTCCGTTAGTGCTACGAAAGCACTATTCAACAAATCATTATTTGTCTCAAATTTAATTTCACACTAGTACAATTTGGTATCAAGTTAATTATAACACAATTAACAAGAACAAATCAACCAAATTTCCAACTAGTTGAATCAGACTTATATAATCGTACCCAAAATATTATTTAAAATATTCAACAATTGAGCTGTGACGCTCACGATTATATAGCTATCCCAATTTTTGACAAATTGATTCTACTTTGAAATCTGTATCGTTCAACATGAACTAGAACCAAAGTCCTTACGAGATTTCAAACATGTAACATGCTTGTTACATTCCGTTTCGTCCGTTAAGCCATTCTAGCAATTTTTTTTTTCATATAATGCTACGTGATGCTTAAAGAATCCTTATTGAATCTTTTATATATTAAAAAATATCACACAAGAATACTTTAAAATATACAAGGTTCAATACACACAAATGGAACAATTCATTTTATTCAATAATAAAATGTATCACAAGGATACTACAACATTTTTATTCAAAATAAATAAATAGGAAAATACATTGGAAGCAAATTCCTTATTCCTATCTCGTAGTAGTCCTTCAACCCGTGTGCCTTGTTCCATTTTCCAATCGTCCACTCCACGAAGGGTGGTCCATAGCGCATATCGGGCGTACCTCGGTTGTGACCTCACTCGTCCAACCATCCACATGTTTTAAACATAGCAAAATTATCCTCAACCTTTTCACCAGGATGACGGTTCGCTTCATAGTGGCATTTCTCCTTCTTCTCATAATCTTCTAGAAAGCTAAGCTTCCGCTTGCCTTTCCTTTGATTACAGTTGAAGTCATTGGTCACACTACCATAGTCCTCAGACCATGTAGTGGTCACATAAACACTGGATCCTTCGTGGCTTTCAGCCGATCCATTAGGCATCACAATAGGTACCACTTGTGTGCCATTAGCCACTAGTCTACCGGATCGTGAACCGAAGTTCTCCGGAGCACTATCGTGTGATTTAGCAACTCCCACGGAAACATCATTTCCAACGTTGCTGCCATCAACGGGCATCTCAGAATGTGCAACATCGTTGTCGTTCCGATCATTTGAATGTGCACCACAAGCAACATTCACAGTTCCAATACTCTTGGAATCCATCGACTTGTTCATTATCAAAATAAATAAGGTTTTAAGATTGTTGGGGATAATGAACCAAATCGATTTAATATCCCGAAATAATATTTATATATACACACAAAAATATATAAAATATTATTGGATATATATCCGAAATATATATATACACACAAATATATATATATATATATATATATATATATATATATATATATATATATATATATATATATATATATATATATATATATATATATATATATATATATATATATATATATATACGGACCCAAATGTTATATATATACATATATCTACGAAAAAGATATACCGATATATATCAACAAAAAATTAGAACTTATAATCCTCAGATTATAATTCCAATCCAACGACTATATCAAATAAAGAGTGAGGATTTTTGCTTAGAAGCATAATCCAAACCGAAAGAAGGAGGAGATTGGCTCGTGTTTGGGTATAGAATTTTTAGCGCGAATCAAGAGATCACTCTTTCCTTAAAACCTTATTTGCCAACTCCCAAAAGTGCTAGGAGCGTTGTGGCCTAGGTTTCCCAGGATAAAACGTGCTACGGTTCGACGGTTGAGCACCCAAACGAGCGAACCCGACGAACTAGAGCAAAGCCTTGAACACAGTTAGGCAAAGAAAGGAGTAGGAGCAGAGTATTTTGGAGCTAAAACCGTGCAAGTGTGTATGCTTTCTTCTTGTTCTCTCTTGTGTAAAAAATCTGCTGTCCAACTCCCTTCTTATATAGGAGATGAAGGATCAATAGCATTCAAGTTGGCATTTAACAAATGATTTGTAACACCTGAAACAGCCACCATTAAGTGAGATTAAATTCAAATTTTAAAATTGGAATTAATCGACAATTAATTCCGTAACATATGAATTTAATCGCTCAGGTGCTGGTGCTGGTCCCTCTTTTGTGTTACTTTCGGCCTCCCAAGGTCGAACTTTCGACCTTGTACCATGGTCTCAGACAAGGCCAACTTTCGACCTCCTTGTACCATGGTCTTAGCCAAGGCCAAAAATGATAATGAAAGTAAGTTGGCATAACTTAGCCTGCAAGGCGTGCCAACTCAAAGTTTAGGATTTGATTTACACTCCCCTTGCGCGCAAGAGAGGGCTATGTTATACAATTTAATAAAACTCTAAAGGACTCTTGTATAAATAGTGGGACAAATCCGCTTCCCAAACCAATGTGGGACAAAAGCTCACTTTCTCAATGGGTCTACTTTGAGAATCAATATCTCATTCACTCATTATCCGTTTTGAGCGTATAATATAGCAATCTCTTCGTCTCACTACGAAGAACTCGAATCCACTTTGACCCGACCCAAATTGAAAGTGAACCCCACTGATAATTCTACTACAAAATAGCTACTTAAAATGTCATTTTAATGTTATTTTTCCAACATATTATAACTACTAACTATAGTTCTGATCCGTCTTCACTTCATTCCAGGTTAGGTTGTCATTCATTTTAGTACTGAATGTTGATATAAACACCATTGTTCCTAGGAAAATGGAAAAGTATTAGTATAGATTAGTAATTAAGCAGTAATTTAAAATAGGATGGTATACTTACAGCTGGATATTGACATGATTCTATTATTTTTCAACAACTTAATGTGAAAACATTTAATTTTTCGACAATCAATATTACCTAAAACAGTGTCGTTTTTATTGGACGCTTTATTATAGAGTTAAATTATATTAGATATATTTATCCCGTGTGGGACGATATCTAGTCAATAAAATATTTATAACACTTTTTTTTGGAATATTACTAACCTCCCACATGAAAAAGGTCATTACATAACATCCAAGCATAAGGTGCTTGACAAATATTTATAACACTAAAAATCATTTTTTGAGTTTTCATAAGAAACTTAATTTAGAATCAAATTACGCTAAAACCCTATTTTATTAAACTCTCTCATTAACATTCAAACTCACTACTCACTTCTGAGTTCTGATCAAAATATGGAGGTCCACCGAGATATTCTCTGAGATACCCAGGGAGTCTCCCGTCTCGTATGCTATCAAATTCTCACGCCTGCCCGTTGCCAGTACTCCGTTCTTCACGGCTCACACAATCTGTACTTCTTCTACACACAATTCTACTCTTTGAGAGAGAGAGTGAGAGATTGGTAAGCTCGGCTTCATGACCCCTAACCTCTTTTTTTCCCCTTAATTTTTTTTTTATTATCTCAGATCATCAATGCAAGAACATTAGTGATTAAATTCGTGTGTTTTCATTTTGTTTTAGTGAAAAACGGTTTCGAACTTTGAAGAAACATGGGTGAACTGTGACATTTTTTTGTCCAGCCCTGGATTTGAAGTTCTTACCCTTTTATTAACTAATCTTATAAAACCCAAATCGAGGTGCCGTGCGTTGTTCTCAACCTTGAATAATTTCATAATTTCTTGCTTCAGTTTATGCTACATGTCTACATTTCTGTTTTAATTTTCATTTGAATTTACTTTCTATTATGTACTTGTGTTTATAAAATGATTTTTTTTGAGGGTTGGGAAGGAGATGGATGAATGTGTATATATAGGGGAGAGATCATGTAAATCCATAGGGAATTGTGGTATGTTGAAGTTGAATTTGAAGTTTTGTGGCATTTTGTTTTGTTTTAATTTGATGTTTGGTTAGTGTCACGTTCTCTTGGCTGAAGAGCAAGAGAGATTTAAAAAATGGTTTTTATTTCTGAAACTGTGTGCTGTTAGGACATTCTCAAACTAATGTTAGTTTTGTTAAAAAATATGCTCTTGAGAGTTTAGACTATGACTTGAAATTTATTCGTTGCTATATGGGTAATTCCAGTTGAAGCGAGCAGAACTTTGCCTGCAAGGGGTAATTGAATTGTCATCTAGGGTTCATGGGTACAGTTGATGATAAATCAGATGATGAGTATTCTGTAATTGGTGATAAAGGAGATCTTGGGCACATTGACATTGAGGAACATAAATCTTCTGGTAGCTATGACCCAAATGGAGAGAATGAGAAATTTGCAATATCCATTCCATTTCCCTTGGTAAATGGAAGACCCACATCAGGCTCTGTAGGAGAAAGAATTGTCAATTCAATCACAGTAACGAGTACTACAGAAGACCCGCTGGAGTTATCAATTAAGATATATGACTCAAAACCTGAGGATTCGTTCACACTTTCTTTGATGGAACCTCCAACAGAAAATTCTAATGCAGAGTATATTGAAGAATTCATGGAGTCCTTTAGTGTGGAGGACAAAACATTGATGCCAGGAAAGATTTTTATGGTTTGGCTCTCTTGCAAACCCAAGGAAATTGGGTTGCACACATCAGCTGTACACTTTAATGTGGGTGAGGAGACAATAGAGCGACTGGTTTTTGTCTTGGCAGAGGACAAGGTTTGCCAGTCCTTGGTTTCAAAGAGGCCATACCACAGAGCAAGGAAGAAGAAAGTTGAGGTTTTCTCTGGTGATGGCTTTATTTTGGGCTCTCGTCCTTCAAGGGCTTCAAATCGGCCCTTCAAAAACCGGCTTCCTGAATATCCAATTCCAACAGAAATCATAGAGCTGGTAGAGAAAAATCAGAGGCCTGATGCTATCATAGAAGGTTTAAGGAAGGAAAACTATTTCGATTATTTCAGAACATTATTAGCAATTGAAGAAATGAAAATTAAGGTATACATTATTGCTTTGAAATTTGAATTACACATGAAAATGTTCTTAATTTACTTGGTATTAAACTTTGTACTTCTTTCATCAGCAAGATATGAGGGAGTATGATATGGAGTGTGTGACCATGAAGCATAGGGGCATGCAGTTTTTATCCCTTGAGGTCCCAGGTCTGGCAGAGAGAAGGCCTTCACTTGTTTATGGAGACTTCATTTTTGCACAGCCAGCATATCAAGATGCTAGTGGGATGAAACCTTATCAGGTGCTTTGTGCTTATAAATACATTCCATTCTTACTTTGGCTTTTTAAAGATTCCCTAAGTGTATAACAGATTAACACATAGATGCAGTTTACATGGTAGTGCAGTTATAAAAGTCAAAGACATGCTCTAAGTTTCAGGACATTTTATATTCTGGTATTTGTGCAATTATTTTGCTGCTCTTTTCCATGCTCCTCTGTTTTATTAATCTGCCTCACTCCCTTCCCTAGAAACCTGTTGGAGGAAAAGTAAAACCTACTTGATTTTATTGTAATTCTCTCTCTCTCTCTCTCTCTCTCTCTCTCTCTCTCTCTCTCTCTCTCTCTCTCCTGTTTTAACTTTTCTATTTACTTATGCACTGCTCCTAACATTTCTAAGAATTAACTGTAGTAATAATCGGTGCACAGTTTCTGATGTTTCTGGTAGTCTCTACTTTCTCAACATAGTGTAAACATGCTTTCTATTGCATTGTGCCTTTTTCACTATAAACATCTAAGTTTATTAAATCCAAGTCCCCACACCTAAGAATAAAATGTGAATGGGGTGGGAGGACGGCAGGGGTGTGCTAGGAAACCAACTAGTATCTGCAAAATTCTTCTCATACAAATTCAACTTTGTTGGTTTCTTTAACAGGGCTATATACATCGAGTAGAGGCTGACGAAGTGTTTTTAAAATTTGACAAAGATTTTCATGCAAGGCATAGAGTGGGTAATGTCTATAATGTACAATTCACTTATAATCGGATTGGTGTGCGGAGGATGATTCAAGCCATTGAATCTGCAAATAGCTTGACAAAGGAAGTTCTCTTCCCTTCTGAAGTATATGGAAGGAGAAATATTCCAACCACTCCGCTGAAACCAATATCATGTATGCTTAATGAAGAGCAGATGAGGGCTGTTGAGAAAATTCTTGGTTGTAGAGGAGGTCCTGCTTACGTTATCCACGGGCCTCCTGGCACCGGGAAAACAAAGACACTTATAGAAGCTATCCTTCAGCTATACACTGGGAGAAACAATGCTAGAATTTTAGTTTGTGCTCCATCAAATAGTGCTGCAGACAGTATACTGGAGAAACTTCTCAATGAACAGGCAGTTGAACTCCAGCACCATGAAATTTTAAGGCTTAATGCGATCACGCGTCCTATCGATGACGTCTGTCCTGATCACCTCGAGTTTTGCTTTGTTGAAGATGAAACTTTTAAGTGCCCCCTTCTGAGGGACCTGATTCGTTATAGGATCATAATATCAACCTATGCTAGTACCTATCTTCTTTATGCAGAAGGCATTAAGCGAGGGCAGTTCTCTCATGTTTTCTTAGATGAAGCAGGACAGGCTTCAGAGCCTGAGACCATGATTCCTCTTTCACATCTTTTAAGGAAGGAAACTGTGTTTGTTCTTGCTGGTGATCCTTTGCAACTTGGTCCTGTTGTTTTTTCGAAAGATGCTGAAAATTGTGGTCTTGGGAAGTCATTCATGGAAAGGATTTACGAAAGCCCAATATATAGAGGTGAAAATTATAGTACTAAATTAGTGAGAAACTATCGGTGCCATCCAGCAATTCTGAAACTTCCATCAGAAATGTTTTATGGAGGGGAGTTAATCCCATGCAAAGAAGAATTAGAAGATGATGAAAGGCCATCCAGGGCTGGGGTTGATCTCCTTCCTAACAATGAGTTCCCTTTGCTTTTCGTTGGAGTACAAGGTTTTGATGAGAGGGAAGGAAGCAATCCCTCATGGTTTAATAGGATCGAGGCTAGCAAAGTTGTTGAAATCGTCAGAAATCTAGTTGAAGACAATGGATTTAGAGAGGAAGATATTGGAGTGATAACACCTTACCGGCAACAAGTGCTCAAGATAAAAAATGTTCTTGAGAGTTTTGATTGGAATGGCATAAAGGTTGGCAGTGTGGAACAGTTCCAAGGTCAAGAACGAGAAGTGATCATTATATCTACAGTTCGTTCAACTGTGAAACATAATGAATTTGACAAAATTCACTACTTAGGATTTTTGAGTAACCCTAGAAGATTTAATGTAGCCATCACTCGAGCCAAATCATTGCTTATTGTTATCGGGAACCCTCACATCATTTGCCAGGTAATTTCATACCTTAAAAATATACATGCTGTGGATATATGAAGTGTAAACCTTATTATGTGTTCCGTTATGAGATGCTTAATATATTGCAGGATCCACACTGGAACAAGCTTCTGTGGTATTGTGTCGAAAACAAATCCTATACAGGTTGCTTTTTGCCTGCGAGACAGGAAAGTGTAGATGATGAATCTGTTGGAGGGAGAAATAATGAGACAAATGATCAGTTTTTTGATGGTAGGGGAGATACTGAGCTTATTAAGCATGAAGCCAATGGCTGGGAAGATCTCCCACCACCTGTTACTGATCAAAATGAATGGGAAGATGGTTGGAAATAACTCTAATGGTGAGAGAAATTAGGTTTACTTTTGGAAGGAGTAACTGCTTGTGGATGCTCTTCTGCACAAATCTCAACAAGATAAACTGCTATATATTGTTCTATGCTTCAAGTATTTTTTTTTATTATTATTTTTATGACTAAAATATGAACCTGCTTTTGTCAAGGTCGGTAAATGGCAATGCTATAGCTTAAGAGCATCTCCAATAGTGTATTGGTTTTTTTTTTTTTTTTTTTTTAAATATATTTTTAGGTGCAAGTTAGGAGAGAGAAGAGGGAAAGAGAAGAAGGAAAAAAAGGAAAAAAAAAATAAAAATACTGAGATGTCAGGATCTTGTAGAATTAAAAATTGTGGATTCTTTTTTCTCTCCTGAGTCTCACAAAAAACCATTTCTCATGCAAATTTAATTTCTTATTTCTCCTCTTTCATCTAAATAATCATTTCTCATCTGTAACACATCAAAAAGACTAAGAAAAAGCGCATTGATGTTGATGCTCTAATGCCTATATAATAGTTATTCATCAGATTTTGGAAACATTCGTTATTTGTTTGAAGTTGAACCTATGTTTATATATGTGTGTGCGCGTTGTGGAGCGACAAGATTATGTGAGAATAGGGTCTAATGTGAAAAATGAAAATTATTTGATGGATGATATCAAGACTTAATTGAAAAATAAGGTGGTATTTTTGTAAATATGTATTCCCTGTCCCATTTATGTGTTTGGTTCGTTTAATGAGGTTTGACTGAAGTTATTTTTAATTTAACTAGTATGATACCCGTGCGATGCACGCCTAGAAATTTGTAGTTAATGTTTTTTTTTTCATTGTTAAAGTATATTATGTATATATATTGTAAATAATGAAATTGACAGTTACATACGTTCATTAGAAATAATTATTATATAAATAAATATCATGGCTTTTAATACACTATTTTTATATATGGTAATTAATTTCATAAATACAATAAAAATTCTTAATTGCAGGGAGACTTTTGCGACATTCCAATCTGCCAAATAATTTTAAAATAATTTATTACATCATTTCAAACCTTTTAATAGGTTTTATATATATATATATATATATATATATATATATATATATATATATATATATATATATATATATATATATATATATATATATATATATGTAATTATGGAATTGACAGTTACATACATTCGTATACAAATAATTATTATAGAAATAAATATCCTGCCTTTTAATAGACTATTTTTATATATGGTAATTAATTAATTTCATAATTACACATAAAAATTTCTAAATGTAGGGAGACTTTTGCGACATTCTAATTTGTCAAATAATTTTAAAATAATTTATTATATCATTTCAAACCTTTTAATATGTTATTTTTAAATTAATATATTAATAGTATTCAAAAAAAATATATTAATATATATAATTAAATTATTCTACCCAATTATATATATCATTCCTAAATACGATCCTAATAACTATATGTGATGTACGATATATATGTATATAATAATATACAAATATAGTATTATCCTATTATACATATATGTAATTATGGAATTGATAGTTACATACGTTCATATGAAAATAATTATTATATAAATAAATATCATGCCTTTTAATAGACTATTTTTTATATTTTTATATATAATAATTAATTTCATAATTACAAATAAAAAAAATCTAATTACAGGGAGATTTTTGCGACATTCCAATCTGCCAAATAATTTTAAAATAATTTATTATAACATTTCAAACCTTTTAATAGGTTATTTTTAAATTAATATATATAATTAAATTATTCTACCCAATTAGGCATATCATTCCTAAATCTGATCCTAATAACTATATATGATGTACGATATATATGTATATATTTTTGGAATAATATATATGTATATAATAATATATAAATATAATATTATTTGGCATTCAAAAAAAAAATATAATATTATTTTATAATATCTACATGTAATTATGGAATTGACAGTTACATACGTTCATATGAAAATAATTATTATATAAATAAATATCATGCCTTTTAATAAACTATTTTTATATATGGTAATTAATTTCATAATTACAAAAAAAAATACAATATGAAAAAGTAATGTAAATCTTTAATGTAAAAAAAATACACAGAATTTCTCCACAAGAAATAACTTAGAAATAGAAAAAAAAAAAAAAAAAAAGAGAAGTAATTTTACCACTGCATAATTGTAACAACAACCGAATTGATCCTGACTCTTATTAATCGACATTGCATATGGGACAATTAAAGAGAATTGTATTCTTTGAAATTTAAAAGGCAATCTCAAGTCTGATAGAGTTAATGACATTCTTGGTATCAATACTTTCTCACCTACTGCTTCTAGAAAATACCTTTACTTCCATAACATGGTTTCCAAGTTTAGTAATGACTAATGACCATCCTTAGCTTTGCCATTATATAAACCAATTGAGTGGTCTATTCACATGTTAGGATAAACGAAGAAGTAATAAAATAAAATTCAAAGGATTTTCAAAAAAAAAAAAAAAACATTCAAAGGAAATTAAATTGTCTTTTGCCTACATTTTTATAAAACATAAAAAAATATTGTTAGAAAAATTAAATAAATAAACAAATAGTATTGTGTTTTGTTTAAAGTGTTTAACCACCAACACGTATTTATGATATTCTTATCCTAAATACTGCTCAGTAAACGGCAAATTATATTATGCACCGAGGTGCATAATCGATTATGCACCGCGCGTCTTTTTTTTTAAATGAAAATTAACAGTGTTTATTTTCGCCGTTTCGCACCCTTTTGCAAAAAGTAACTCTGTTATTCAGTGTCATTTTGTATACACTGCAGTTTCAGTTGAACACAACTACAGTTTCATTTCGATATAACTATAGTTTCATTCGATATTTATAGGCTCAAATATGTGAAAATGTTATTTAATTTTATTTTATATACACTATAATTTTATTAAAACACAACTACATGATCATTTTGATATAATTACAGCTTCATTGTACAATATACACTCAAATATGTGAAATGTTACTCAGTTTCAGTTTATATACACTGCAGTTTCATTTCACTATAACTACAGTATCATTTTGATATAACTGCAGTGTCGGTTTGGATATATTGTAGTGTCAATTAGTGTTCAATACACCAAACAAACGGACTCCGTTAACTCTAACGGCGGGCCGTTTCTTTACTTAAAGAAACGGCGCCGTATATGGGCCGCGGTGCATAATCGATTATGCACCGCGGTCTATAATATAACAACTGTCAATAAACCATTGAGCTAAGCATGTGTGAGTGTATTTATGATATTCTAATTGTACAACACGTGTTTTGAGCCAATATTATTATTATTATTATTATTATTATTATTATTATTAAAAGATAAATCAAACCAAATCCCTACCCAAACCAAATCCCCACCCAATTAACAATTCGTCATTCTCAGTTTCAGAAGCGCAGAAGGCCGACGACAAAGTTTGTGGTTCGACTGTGGCTGGCAACGATGGCAACGGCGGCTGGCAACATGGTGGTTGTTCTGGGCGTGGCTACGTAGACGAACTTCGTGTGACGAATGGCGCCGATTTGGTCATTATGAACAGCGACGAACTGGGCTGGTTTAGGGTGAGATTGCGGAAGGCGGTGAGGGCGATGTCGTCTGGCAGATGGCAGGTGGCAGTAATTCCGACGGCGTCGGGCAGCAAAGGGTGTCGACCTGAAAAGTATGAAATTGGCAGTGGTAATATATTTCTTGAAATGTATGATTTATATAGTGGTAGTAAAATTCATTAGATAAGATGTATATTAGGTAAAATAGTCTAATCAGAGAAACCACCGTGTATACTGATACAATGTTATATTTGGCAGATTGAAATAGTGCAGAAATCTCTCCACGGTTTATTGTCGCAGATTGGATCAATTTATTTTAATGAGAGGAATTTTATTTGTAATTATAGACTTAATTACTATATAATATATGTCATGTGTATACTGAATGAATTTTAATTTGTAATTTGTAATATTACAAAAATACCCCTAAGTTTTGGGGGAAAAAATTTTGTGCCAACCATTTTGCTTTAATATATATAGTGATAGAGATTTTTCATAGCATTAAATTTAGTATTAGTATACAAAATTTATATATTTAGAAATTACATTAAAAGTACTATTAAACATAAAAAATTGAATTTAAAAATAAGTAAAAAATACTAAAGAAAATAAACAAAGAAAAAATAGTTGATTTGACCAAATTTTTTATAACATTAAATTTAGTATTAGTATACAAAATTTATATATTTAGAAATTACACTAAAAGTACTATTAAACATAAAAAATTAAATCAAATTTAAAAATAAAAAAAAAAAAACAAAAAGAGTTGATTTGACCGGTGAATAGTAAGTAGGGCAGATAAAATGAGACTATGAGAGTATAATTTTATGAGAGAAAAAACATCATATCTGTTCATAACTAAAACATCATATCTGTTCACAACTACAAGAATCAATACTAATTCCACCGAGACTTGAAGCCATGCACAATCTCCACCTAAAAGAACAACTTGGTGCTATTAAACCACAAGGTCATTAGCTCATCATATTGTTAAATATGCAATTGTTTAAAGGAAACATGTGGTGTTTGAATATATTGTTTTGGCCATGAAGACATAAGGAAGACCAAAAATGTAGCGTTTGCTTATGAAAGCATAGGGAAGACTACACGTGCATTGTTTTGGATATTGTTTTTTACTTGCATTATTTTAAGCTAAATATATACAAGGTTGTAAAAATCGCGCCGATTAATCGGTGCCTGACCGCATCGAGAAATACCGAAATTGGCCTCCTCCGCAGTCGGACACCTAGGCGACTAGGAGGCGACGCCTAGCCGGTCAAACCGTCGCACCCCCTCCCCCCTCCCCACTCCCTCCAAATTTTTTTAGGGTGATTCGTGATTTTTCGCGACTTTAGACCAGAAGCTGCCTTGCCTCTCCAGTCTTCTATACAGTTCACTGCACGCTGCCTCCGCTCAGATTAGATCAGTCCTACACCTCTGCCTCCGCTCAGATTAGATCAGTCCTACACCTCTGCCTCCACTCCACTAGTTTGCCTAGATGCCTCTGCGTCCGCCTCCAGCAATCCGCCAAACACTAGATGGACTGAGTTGAGAGGAAACTGAGGAAAGAAGACGCTGTTAGAGGAGCTGAGAAGGTCGCCGATTTCGCACCCGAAGAGATGTACGCTAGAAAAAATAGGGATGACAATTTCAATCCGCCTCGCGGATATCCATCTGAATCCATCCCGCATGGATCGTTTTTTTTTTTTTTTTTTTTTGGGTGGTAGTGGGTGGTAGATCTTAAAAAAAAAAAAAAAAAAAAAAAAAAGTAATGCCGCAGCGGGTCGGGTTGGATTCGGGTGTTTTGCACAAAACTCACCTAAAATCTCACCCGACCCACCATGTGTTTCTATATATATAAATAATATTAAAATAAGTACTAAGGGTGGAATTGATTATGTTATGTGTAACCTCGGTGTCCTATAATTTTTTGGTTAATGGCTCACGCAGTGACACGGTTACACCCACTCGTAGTTTGAGACAGGGAGACCCTCTGTCCCCTTATCTTTTCATTATCTGTGCGGAAGGTCTCTCTTTATTATTGCAACTGGCGCAGGCTTGGGGTTCTATTCATGGTTGCAGGGTTGCTAAAGGTGCCCCCTATTTCTCATTTATTTTTTGCTGATGATAGTTTGTTATTTTTCAAAGCCAATGCCCAGGAAGCCAGTGAGATTAAAAATTGTTTATCTGTATATGAGAATTTGTCTGGGCAGGTAGTTAATTATCACAAATCCAGTATATGCTACGGCAAGAATACTAGTGAGTTTGACAGGAATGAAGTGGCACAAATCTTAGGTGTAGTCCAGGCTCCTAACTTTGGGAAATACTTGGGACTTCCCTCATTTGTTGAAAGGAATAAGAAAGCGGCTTTCTCGTATATTAAGGAAAAAATCAGACACATGATTGGATCATGGAATAAGAAACTGTTATCAGGCAAGGAAATCTTGTTGAAAAGTGTAGCACAATCCATGTCTACCTTTTCAATGAGTATTTTTTTGCTACCTATGACTGTGTGTACGGCTATTGAGAGAGTTATGAACCGCTATTGGTGGGGGACTGGTAATGATCAGGGGATACACTAAAACGCATGAGACAAACTATGTATCCCAAAGAAGCATGGAGGTCTGGGCTTTAAGGACCTCTGGGCATTTAATTTAGCCATGCTTGAAAAGCAGGCGTGGCGGCTACTTACCAAACCAGAATCCTTGGTGGCTTCTATTTATAAGGCTAGATATTACCCCAAGAATTCGCTTTTTGAGGCAGAAATGGGCAACAACCCCAATTTTTGCTGGCGAAGTATTATGGTAGCGAAGAGCCTAATTTGTAGTGGGGTCAGGCGCAGGATTGGAAATGGTGAGACCACACTTATATGGGCACATCCGTGGATACATAATGATCAGGAACCTATGGTACAGACAGAGATGCCTATGCAATTGGCAGAGGCGAAATTTGTGGGCTTAATTGACCAGGATACTGGTACATGGGATCATTCAATACTCACTGATTTATTCCAACCTACGGATGTTGAGAATATTAAAAAGATACATGTTTCCCAAGAATATGAGGACTCTTGGTATTGGCATGGAGACCCAAAAGGAATCTACTCAGTTAAGAATGGGTATAGGCGCATTATTGGAAATTATGAGCACAGTGATGAGGCATTTGATAAATGGCTCACCCTGTGGAGTCTCAAAATCCCGCCGAAATGGAAAACTTTTTTATGGAGGGCAATTAGTGATATCCTCCCAATCACTACAAATTTGATTATAAAGAGGGTGGATGTGGATCCAAAATGTGCCATGTGTGGGATCGTTCAAGAGGATACTATGCATGCTTTGGTGTTATGTGACTTTGCGAAAGCCATATGGGAACAATCTACCCTTCCAATCCCCAATATTGTGACGAATGTTTTTCACATTTGGTTTTCTAATCTTCTAAATATTCTAGACTTTAATGGAATATTACATGCAACAGCAATCTTATACCATATTTGGAGAGCACGGAACGGAGCAGTGTGGGATGCCGTCCTGCCACGACCAACAAAACTGTTAACCATGGCGGCCGTGACCATGCATGCATGGCGCAACTGTGAAACCCCGTGAATCCAAATTCTATTTGAGGATTAATTAAGTAATTAATCCTAACTTAATTGATAATTTATTCCTAAAATCCTGAAAATTCAATAGTCGGGGACTAGTAATTGACTAGTCAGCCCAAGTCAATGAGTTGTACTTAAAGCTTTGTGAATAGTTCCCTTGTCCCCTTACACTTTTCCATCTTAGTAAGGGTAATGAAAACATTTCACCTCATGATTGTATCCCAAGCTAACCTAGAGTCATCTTTCATTCTTTCCCTAACACTCTCAAAACAAAAGCTCCTTATTCTCACTAGAATTTAGCTAGCTTCTTCTTCAAGCCAAGTTTGGGCATTCCAAGATCTTCAAAGTTGGTCTCCAAGATTCCACCTTTCTTACTCTTGAGCATATAGGAGGGTAAGATCTTTGGTCCTTTAGTGTTTTTAGTACCTTTTAAGGTGTCTTTTTCTAAAGATGAAATCTTTGTTGCCTTTTGGTGTGTTTGTGAAGTAGAAGTTGAAGGAGAACCTTGTTAGAAGCTTGTAAAGGTGTGATAAGTGAAGGCTTAAGCTACAAGAGGTAACCCATGCTTTACAAAATCTATTTTACTTACCTATATGATGATTTCTTGGATTCTACTTGTGATTTTGCTATGAAATGTGAGTGTTGATGCATTGTCTTGTGAAAATGCATATCTAGAGCTTGTTATTAGGGTTCTTGTATGCCATTGCTTGGCTATTCCTTTGATTCAACTTAATTAAACTTAATTAAGCAAGATAACTAACCTCCAAAACATAACAAAACACAGCGGAAGTCTATATAAGCCAGAAAAAGGGAGTGCTATGCCACACTCACACCATTGTGAACGCACAGGAAAAGACCATCAACAACAATCTAAAGTATTGTTCAACATAAGGGGCACACAGGCCCAAAACACCACTAAAACTGTCTGGGAGACTAAACTAGTCATCTCTAACGCGCTCGCCGACTACTCGGAACCTAAAAAGCACATAAATAAATGGGACGACGCTCGGTCAGCAAATAATGCTGGTAACCCATCAATACGCGTCAATAGCATATATAGATAGTTATTACAAAATCATTTTCGAAACGGAATACAGTATATATATCAGTTCAAAATCATCAAGAGAGAAGTCAACCACAATGACTCTATACCACTCATAACAAGGATAAGGGAACACATCCCAAAACACATCAAGGAGTGACAACAATAACAAAAGTAAGACTCAAGGCGTATTCTACCATCACTCAATAGAATATCACCCGACATGCTCAACAAATGAGGATAAAGGAACACACATCGGCAACACATGTGTAACACCCCAGGTTTTCAAGACATTTAAAACTTATATAGCAAGGATAACATCTCATTAAATCCCAAAGTATAACATAAGCGTACGGGGTGCTATGCCACACCTGGGCTAGAGAAACCAGGTGCACATGCTATCTAACTAATATCCTCCGAAATATAAATGCATAACATGGCACGCAGGCCGAAAGGGAAGCTACTCTACTTCTACGCTCCAGTCTAGCGCGCTCCAGTGCTCTAATCCTCTGTGCCTGAAAGCCAAATACATCTGTTCAGCGAGAGATGCTGGTAACCCACTCCAACGCGTTGAAATACAATACATATAGAGATATATATAGGTATACAAAAAACCATTTTGAGCATGAAGATATATCCTACGAACTCTAGCTTTTAAAACCGGGAATGACTCGACAGATAAGGCTAGACACAAGCAACAGTTATAACAAGCGTATACAATCCACAACAGGCAAGACAGATAAAGCTGAGCACAATTAATAATCATAACCCAACATAACAATCCCCAGCATAAGTCCCGTAGTCACATCCCCCAAGATACTCATAATCACCACTCATCCATATCTCATCACATAGCACACTTTGTTGGCGCCACAGGACCAATCGCATGCCCATACATGAGGGTCAGCGCATATAGCTCTGACACGACCCCGCAGCACCCTGCCCCGTATCGCAACACGGAGGGGTCGATCGCAACCGACCGATGAACCGCAGCTCATCATAGTTTGATCGCAACCAAACAGTGGACCGCAGCCCAAGAGAATGTCATCTGACCGCAGCCAGGAAATATGAACCGCAGCTCATGTAGAAACGTTTGATCGCAACCAAACGGTGGACCGCAGCCCAAGAGTGTAAATCTGACCGCAGCCAGCTTCTGAACCGCAGCTCAGGAATAACCAATCCAATCGCAACCGGATTGGGGTATCATGCACACATAACACATAGCAAGCACATGCAACCCACATTATCACATTGGGAAGGGGGAGAAAACGTATAACGAAACCTATGCGTGATCCTTCACATACTAAGAATAATCCTAAGGGGTTCATACTTCTTCCACCTAGGTCAACGGGATACCAATTCAACTAGCATGCAATATATAAGACTCATACAACCTACGAACGGTACCCGAAATATCAAACTAGACATAGGCACGATAGACGGAGTCCGTTGGGACACCACGGGGATCGGGGAAACATCAAACGGGGAAGCCGGGGTCCCGAATGGGGGAGATTTCCAGCGGGTAGCCGGTGGGTGGGGGGCCACCCGCCGGCTGCCCGCCGGTAAGCACTGTTCCGGGCAGCGGGTCGCCGGCGGGCAACTGCCCGCCCGCCGGCTGCCTGCTGCCGGAGACGTCCCTTCTGGCCGCGGGTAGGTGGCGGGTCCCCTACCCCCCACTGACTCTTTACACACAAAACGCCCCGGGAACCATTGTGGAACCCGAAACCATGCTTAGACACTTTACAACGCAATTAACGATCAACACGTAGACAATTAACGGATCAAATACGAGAAACATACGGCACAACCTATCATGCTTTTCTAAACATAATCGACACCCAAACATGCGATTTCCCCACCCGATACACCAAGAATAATATCATACGATACAACCTAGGGTTCTAATCACTTTTATACCAACAAGAATACGATTCGTCTTCTAATTACAAGATTTGGTAAGAATATCACATAAGCATCAAGAACATCACACAAGCATCAAGAACGTCAACAAGAACATCAACCTAGGGTTCTAATTACTTTTACATCAACAAGAATACGGTTCGTCTTCTAATTACAAGATTCGGTACAAATAACACATAAGCATCAAGAACGCCATACAATTATCAAGAACGACATATAATCATCAAGAACTCCACATAATTATCAAGAACACCATAATTATCAAGAACCTCTCATCATCAAGATCACCCATGGAATTATCCCATCAATCATCAATAATAATAACACAAATCATCAATACACAATAATATGGGGAAATCCTACGGGGGAAATCATAGCTATGAAAATAGGTTTTGTTGAGACATGGGTTACCTCTTAGCCTTAATTAATTCCTTGGCTATGAAGGATCTTTCTTTAAGCTTTCTTGCTTTCTTGATTTCTTCTAAGGGGATTCTTGGAGCTCTTTTGGGGTGGTGGGGCGTTATTCTTGTGGTGGGAATTCTAGGTGCCTCCTAAGTTCCCTATTTATATACCTAGGGGTCTTATTTTGGGGTCTAATCCTTTTGGGATTAGGGGTTGGGTTTAGAGATGAGGGCCCACGGACTATGGTGGGCCTTTTTCCCTAATTAATCATTATAATTTATCTTTTCTCTTGGGCCATTGATTAATTAATTAATTGGTTTTGGGGGTCGTAACACGGGGCGTTACAACATGCCTTCGTGACATAACTCATCACGAATAGAGAAACACACATTGGCAACACATGCCTTCGTGACATCACACATCACGAATTCAATAATCCTTCCTTATGCCCAATTCCAACCTTATGGCTACCCCCAACCTTATAGCTAGTTCCAACCATTACCTCCAGGACGCCTATACATCCAAGTCTAACCTTATCCCTCCGGGAACCGTCGTTCCCATTCGCCAACGACCGCCAACAATTTCCACCAATTCATAGTATACGAGGGTACCGATCACAACACACGACCAAGCCCTCCCAAAACACGTGAACCCGACACACAGGTCACAAACTCCATAATCACGTCATGGCCACCACGAGGACCACTGCCGTACCTTGGTGACTAATGTCCCATTCCATTAATCGTGCAATCCAGGTACAGCCAAACAGGAATCAATCAATGGATCACACAAAGATATGAAACCATACTCAACAAGGAAATGATCACAATCCGACAACAATGATGATCAACACAAGTTATCATCCACAATAAGAAAGAACAAACCACACACGCTAGCATTTCAACATCGAACTAGCATGATTATCAAACGGGTAAACAAAACATAGTTCTGAAGAACACACAAGACTCATCATGGTTCAACGAATCACAAGGTTGAACACTTAGCACGATTCAAGACACAAAAACCTACATGGATTCGTACCATATAGTTCTAGACATACGAAACATCAAGAAGACGCTCAAATAGCCCAACAAAAGAACATCGGGGAGTCAAAACATCAATTACCGAGTCAAAAGAATCACGGGGAACAAATCCCCAACAACCAACATATATGTACCCGCGGGTGGGGCCACGGGTGGACCCCCACATGTGGTTCCGCCCGCGGGAACCACCTTCCCAAGGCCTTGTACCCCACGGGTGGGGCCGCGGGTAGAGCTCTGCCCGCCGTTCCGCCCGCGGGTACACGTCATGTACCAAAATTATCCCTTCGGGGATTTTCAACACCAAGACCAAATTCAAGTCCAAAACACCCAAAATCTCACAAAATACAACAATATGACTTGAATCAAAGGAATAACCAAGCAATGGCATACAAGAACCCTAATAACAAGCTCTAGATATGCATTTTCACAAGACAATGCATCAACACTCACATTTCATAGCAAATTCACATGTAGAATCCAAGAAATCATCATATAGGTAAGTAAAATAGATTTTGTAAAGCATGGGTTACCTCTTGTAGCTTAAACCTTCACTTTTTACACTTTAACAAGCTTCTAACAAGGCCCTCCTTCAATTCC